ATTCCCCAAATCCCCACCCACACTCCTTCTAACAAAATCCGCCAACAACGATACATCTTAACACCCCCTGTATCCCACGCTAACTCTTGAAAGCCCTACCTTTACAGCACCGGCAGCCCTTGCGCAAACGACACGCTGGGAGCTTGGCGGCAGCGGCCGCCAAGGCTTCCACGAGCCTCAAGAGTGCAAAAGTCCGCACTTAGCTTCACCATGAGGCTTAGGGTTTAGGGGCTTAGGGTGCAGGGTTCAGGGGTGTAGGGGTTTAGGGGTTTCGGGTTTTGGGATTTAGGGTTTGGGGGTTTAGGGTTGACTGTGACTTATGAAGGTTCCATAAGGGCTTCCACGACTTCTAGGTGGGTTTCTGGCTTAGGGAAGGCCGCCTAAATCCCTGGACCAGCGGTTCTCAAGCTTTAGACTGCCATATACTATATAGGAGTTTCCGAAGTTAGGGATACCTCATTTTTGGGTCCTTGCAATATGGATCCTACTATTGAGGGTGCTAAATTAGGGTCCCCTATTTTCGGAAACCCCATATACAATTGAGGCACCACTATGAAATAAGGGCTTTTAGGTCCCTCTCGCATGGCTGAGGTCTTTTGGGGTTTATGGGGTTTAGGGTCCACAGCATCAGCTTGCTACACTCAGGCTCCTCAGCTAGAAGGTTTCAGGAAATTTCCGGCCCTCAGCAGAGTTTTCAGGGGCATCCTCCTTTAGGCTTCAGGGTTGAGACTAGAGCCGCTTAGGGTTTAGGGATTCAAGGTTTAGGGTTTAGGGTTTAGGGATTTAAGGTTTTTTTTTGCCTCCTACATAGCAAAGACGTGCCCGCATTGCAGGGTGGAAAGTCGGCTTCAGAACTGCACAAGCAAGCCCCATGTTAAGGCGTACCAATTACCAAGATCATCTCGTTCAGATGTTCTCAGGACTCCCAAAACTCAGTTCAGCTCCAAAAGTGTGAAGGCCGCTCACATCAGTGTTGTGGATTTAAGGTTTAGGGCTTATAATAGGGTTTACTGATCTGTGAGAGCTATGTGTCCTACAGAAACCTTATTATACCCATCGCCGTTTTGGCCACTAACTATGCAGGTATTTGGGCGCTTAGGGCAAGTTTCAAGCAAGGACCCAGGTTTCGTGGTTTCGGCTATTCGAAACCGAAATCCATGTAGAGCCTGGCAAGTAAGGATTAGAATTCGAATCCTAATATGCGGACCGCCATAGAAATTCATAGAAAGGTGTGTGTGTGTGTGTGCTAAAATGGGGGTCAATGTAACTGAAGGCGAGGGTGAGGGTGGGGCAATCCTGGGTTCACGGTTAGGTTTGGTGGCCCCCAAGCCCAAAGCCGTCTTTAATAAGCCCACAGATGAAGGGCTTCTTCGAGGGTGCTTTAAGGTTTCCTGTGCGGAAATGCCCTCGTCCGAAACCTCAAACTGGCTCCCGGGTCCTGAACTCTGAAGAACCATAGACCTTAAGCCCCAAAAAAAGGCCCAAATGTAGGAGCCTGAATGATTAGAATAAGGGTTTTTGGGGCTCCTTATTATAACTATGGTAGAATATATCCCCTAACCCTATTCTAATAATTGAGGCCCCTGTATTACGTCATACGAGAATGGCGAACGGCCGAGTGGAGCAGGACAGAGGCCGCCCCACTCCATAAGCTGACAGGGCTTAAGGTTCCCATTGAGAGCCTAGGATCCTCCGGAAGCCCTGAAAGCCCTAAACCCGAAACCCTGAACGCCTTATATTTTTGGGTTTTAGTTCAGGGTTTTGGGATTTCCCTAAACCCTAAACCCTTATTTGGGTTTAGCGCTTCCACACTTACAACAACAAACGCAGCCACACCAGGATGCAGCTTGCTCAGGTCCAGGCGGCTCACTCGCCTGCGGAAGATTTTCCACTGCAAACCGCTAGAGGGTTTTTGTAACTTTCTTAAAGGGCCCCAAGTACCTATATTCATATATATATATATATACACATAAATACATATATATATATATAGTAGAATGTAGGGTTCTATATAATGGGAATGACGATGGATGGTTTGGGCAAGTATCCCTGGAAAAAGGCAGTCAGGATCCTTTGGGTTTGGCTTTGGAGGATGACGTGGTTGCAAGGTACATGCCTGCTTCCCGTTTAGGGTTTAGGGTTTAGGGTTCCTTTTTTGAACGAGATCTCTCTGAAGGCTAACCCTAAACCCTAAACCCCAAAAAAATGGCTTCTTCCCGGAGCTTGCAAAGCCCGAATCTACCATTTTCCTGCAGGTGGAACAACCTCCAACAAACTATGGCACTATAATGGGTAGTTCTCTAGTCTATACTAGGGTCCCGCTTTAGGTCCCCAATGTAGTACGGCACCCCTACAAAAGGTACCCTAACTTAGAGAACTGCCCATATACCCTGGAGCCCCAAGCGCATAGCCGCACCCAAATCCGAACCTAAACCGGAATAAGGTAGGGGCCTTAAGAATTAGAATAGGGCTTGGGGGTTCCTTATTATAATTATGGTATGATATGCAACTCTGAGGAAGATCACGCTTCAAACGGGGAACTCCAGCACGACTCCCAGGCCCTCGAAGCGGGGAAATACCTATCTTCTTTACATATGGGTGGTTGTCAAAATTATGGTCCCTTTTGGGTACCCTAAATGATAGGTGCCGTATTATCATAAGGACCCAAAAAGGGACCATAATTTTGACAACCACCCATATATGACAGTAACCTACTAGAGTCACTAGAAGGCACAATCGCCGTCAACTTCTAAACTCGCAGCCGACCCTTTAACAAGAAACCCTGAACCCGAAACACACACACAGACACACACACCTCAATCCCGCACACCCTAAACTTCTACAAACCATGGGTCTTAGGTTTCGGCGCTCACACTCGGACACTCCAGGCGAGGCATATGGTTCGAGGTCTGCAATGAAATCAGACGATCTCCATGAAAGGGTCCCCGCAACACAACCCTCAATAGCAAAAACCTGTAAGGGCGCAGGGACCTGGGTTTAGGTTTTTCCGTCTCGCACTGCAGAGAACTATGCCGGATTTTTACTTTACATATATAATCTTAATCTAATCTATTTAATCTATTAACATGTACCTTCATGACTTTTGATATCAATTGTATCTCTCCCTTACTATGGTTTACGGTTAAAGGGGTTTGCATCTCCTGCTGGAAAGCTAAATCTGCAGGTTCAGGGCTCAGAAGTGTTAACCCAAAACAACCGCAACCTGCCAGAACCCTAAACCCTAAACCCTTAAACCCTTAAACCCTATATAAATCCTAGCCCCTAAACCCATCAGCCCTATATGAGCTCTTTAGGCCCCAAACCGCTCAGCGCGGAACGCCTGGGAGGGAGACCCTTCCAGAAAGCGCAGCGAATCGGGGCCTGAGTCTGCAAGAGTTTCGAGGTTCCGGGTTTGGAGCTTGGGGTTTAGGGTTGTTCAGTTTCAGGCTTGGTTGGGTTTGTAGGGTTTACATAGGGTTTAGGGATTCGGGGTGCAAGGATAAAGGGCTTCAGGGTTTGGGGTTTTTAGGGGTCTAGGGCTTGGGGTTTAGGGGTTTCGGGGTTTAGGGGAAAAAGGGGTAAGGGTTTCGGGGTTGTTTAGGGCCCGAAACCCTGAACCCTTGTAGCCCAGCTACAACCTATATAGGTTGTGGGGTTGGGATTCGGGGGGAAATGGCGCCGCACCTGAAGGCATGAGAGCTTACATAATATAGGGGCCTTAATAATTAGAATAGGGTTTTGGGGCCCATTATGTATACAATACTTATAATAAGGAACCCCCAAACCCCATTCTATTTGTTAAGGCCCCTACATTATGCATTAGGCTCGGGCCTATTTCCTCGGAACCCTGGGCCCTAAACACTGACATCCGGCTGGTAGGGTCCAAAAGGATGGTTGCAGGAATTCGGCCCAGTTTTCAGAGGCTGAGTTCGAAGGTTTGTTGAACCCGCCCTAACTGCTGTAAGGCCCTAATTTACTCCAAAGCCCAAGCCCTTACTGATTCCCGAAATCCTACACCCTCAACCCCAATTAAACCCGACACCCTGTACATTCTGAACCCGATCCTCCAAACTACTCCCAAGCCACTCTCTGGGCGCCGAACGCAGCGCCGAGCAAACCGCAGGGGACTTCGCACAGGAGTCGAGCAGGGCCTGTTTCAATTTAGCTCTCGTAAGTGTTCTTAAGAATCTCCTACGATTTGAGGTTTTGTCGGATTTGATATGGGTGTTGCAGAGGTTCGGCGTCCCGTGAAATGGCAGTTGGCTGTTCTTCTGCCACCATCGCGTAGCAAGCCATTCTAAAGCCAACTGGGCTTGAAACTCAAACGAAGTAAGTTACGGCTTCACTTACGACCCTCACCCTCCAGGTACCTACAACTACATACTATAGACTATAGAGGGCCCTATATGGCCCCTAGGGCCCTATATAGTAGGTACCTGGAGATACTATAGACTATAGAGGGTACTAGAGCCCCTAGGGCCCTATATAGTAGGTACCTAGAGGGTTAGGGCAAGCGAGCGAGAGTGAAGCTGGGTATGCGTGGCCGATAAGGAATCAAGCACCAGGCCGGCACAGGAACTCCTCTCAAACCGTTTAGGGTTTAGGGTTATAGTTTTAGGGTTTAGGGTTTAGGGTTTAGGGGAGCCCTCATGAAGATGGATAGTTCTCCAAAGTAGGGTCTCTTTTTGGGTCCCCCAAATAGTACGGCACCCTTATAAAAAAAGGACCCTAAAGCGGGCCAAAATTTAGAGAGCTACCCATGTGGAAATCCTTACTGTGCAGACCTTGCAAAACCCCGCTTGTAGACATTTAGGAACCTCAAGAGAAGGACATTCCTACTACTGACCCCTTATAGCCGGCCCCGAATCTTGTGAAAAGCCAGATAGGCTGCACCCTTGTCATGGGATTTACATTGGATCAAAACTGCCGATCCGGACGAAGGTTTTCTCTGAAGATCTGGGCAACAAGTGCTTGGCTCTCTGAGACAGCACGGACAATGTTCAGCTGCTGCTGGAAAACGAATCCGAAGCCTCTGTTGCCAGTTCTCCTTCCGATGATTCGTCCGAGTCACCACTTGAAGTGGTGAGCACGCAAAGCGAGGGGCAACATCCGCGGGATGTGCTGACAGGCCTGTCTGCCGTACTCTCCGCCGACATTGCACAACGCCGCACAATTCTGCCGACTTGCCGAGAACGCTCGTTCCCGTCAACCCACTGTGCAAACAAACCAAGCTCTTCACTGAAGACGAGCTGTTGGATTTTCCAGTTGAAGACCTCCACATTGGAGATCTTCGCCATGATCATCTCCTTGTCAGCTTGGGACGAAGCCGTGCACTGCCGGACATCTAAGAGCGAGAGTCTGTCATAGTTCCGATCCACAACATCCTGCGACGAAACCTGTATGCGAGATTCCATGCCCAGCACGCTGGCCTCAAATATCTCTGCAACACACCATGCGCGGAAAAGCACTTCGAAGGCGTCATCAAGGACAATGAGCTGCGAGAAGCCCACCACATCCAGCGCTAAGTGTGTCATCATGTCATCGAACTTGTTGAGCTCCGACCTGGCGTCAGTGTTGCTGAAGACCTTCTCCACGCGACAGCTGCAGGGCAGGAATGCTTCACCGGTGACTGAGTCCTTCCGTCTCCTGTCCCAAGCAGCCCATTCGGGCGTCCACTGGAGCGGCTCGGGCCCGAACCCTGCACAAATACTGGCGTGCTGGTTGATGGAAAAAGCGCACACCCAGTAGGTCGTCTCCAGCTTGCCGGACAGCTTGGCCCGGACTTGCTGTAAGCCCGATGTCGTGGAAATCTGGACGGCAATCTCCTGATGGGCAGACCGCCCCAAAGCATCTGCCAGGATTGCCGAGACTAGGTTTCCGAAGACGTTGTTCCAGTTGTGCGTGACCATGACTTGTGCCGTCGACCCTCTGCTTGACCACAGAGTTGCCAGCGCACAGCCAGCATCTCCAACGCGCGATTCCGGGATGATCGCCCGTCGGACCACATCGTTCGTCAAGGAGCGTCGGGGATCAAAGCCTGGCATCATCTGACCATCGAGAAGTCGCTCCCAGAAGTTCAGGAGCGCGCCGAGGCGAAAGCCCCGGTTTGCCAGCTGTTTCACCACGTTGTCATAGACATCTTGCTCCATGGGGCTCAGGAAGCTTGTCATGGAACTCAGCCCTCGCGAGAGGGCGTACCGAAGCTCCGCAGAGTCGTCTGGAGGGCGACCTTGCCAAAGAATCCCGGAAAGAAGGCCAAGTCCAAGCGAATTTACCACCCAGTCAATATGGTTGACCAACACAACGAGCTTGTCTCTGCTCATGATGAGCAGCACAGTGGCCTCGGACTTCGTAGTGTGATACAGCAAGAGTGCATGCACCCACATGGCAGAGACCACGCCATAGCAGCACATGGTCAGTCCCAGCATTGTGCATATAAGTATCTCCATGCCGATAATCTGTGCGGCCCAGATAGCCTGTTTCCTGGGTGGTCCTCGAACTCGCCTGGTTTCCTGCAGCAGCATGTTCAACTTGAGCGCTAATCTCTTGCAAGTCAGGGCCGTGTATGTAATCCAAACGGTACACAGCACTGACACACTGACCACAATGAGAGGCACTGTGTCCACAGTCGCAAAAGCATAGCGAATGTACAGGCTGCAGCACATGACAAGGATCCATATGTGAGAACCGGTGGTCGCGCAGCACGTCTGTTCCAGGCTAGACCGGATTCCCATAATTCGCATCCGCAACAGATAAAGAGTCCAGCCAAGCGCAACGCATTGCACAGCGTTGCCATACTGAAACCAGGGGGTGGCACCGAAATACAGCTCTTCGTTGTTGTCCAGGCGTATGAAAGACACCTGCTGAGCTGCCGCCGCAAGCCAATATGCAAACATGCACCACTTTGCATCGTGTGCGTAAATAGATCGCGGATGTTTCCTTAGCACGGAGCATATCCATGTGAAGGAGAGCAGCACGAGAGTAACTGTTTGCTGACCGACGCCGAAGTTCATGGGATGTTCCCCTTCCCACCATAGCCAGAGCACGCAAGGATAGCCTGCGAGGCAGGTCGACAGACAGATGATCAGGCTGCAGAGTGTCACGGTGCATCCCCGGGAGCAGTGCCTGCCAGCCGAAGACCCGGGGACGTGCAGAACTCCGAGACATAGTCCGGACCAGGTACTCAACTTATACACTTCGAACCTTTCGTAGGGCAGCAGCACTAAACATAAACCCAGCAGGCACAAAAGAAGGCCGCAATAAAGCAACCGCCACTTCCACTCGAAACTAAGGGGCCATTGGCAAGTCCGCATCTTACCATACGAAGGTGCTAGCGTCGAATGCCCTAAAGCTCTGCGAATCCGAAATCTGCACGCCTGGAGCCCAGGCATGGGAACCTGAAGCTCCGTTAGCTCTACAACCATTTAGGGTTTAGGGTTTAGGGTTTAGGGTTTAGGGTTTAGGGCTACAACCATTTCATCAAAGCTCAAAGCTTGACATCTTGAACATTCCAAGTTGTGAGGTAGTTGCCAGGCCAGAATCGAACGTAACAACTCATCCCTATTCACCTCAACAGTCGCTGGAAATGTAGGGCAAAAAAACTTGGGGTCTAGACCCTTATATAAATTGTCGTTTAAGGGGGTCGGGCTAGGAAAGCCCGAATTAATTCTTGCACTCTCGAGCCGGATCGCACGTCAAGCCTTCGGTGTCAGGACCTAAGAGTTTTGGGAACTGCAAACCCTGTGTACGTGTGCAGATGCTAACACTTTCTGGGCGTATGGTTTAGGTGCATGCCGCAAGAAATGACAGAGTCGAAAGCAAATGATTTGATACACATACATGAAAGGTGAACACACACACACACATTGCGTCGTCACTGCCTGCATATGGGTGTCTGTTTGTATGTGCGTGCATGCATGCGCATGCATTCATTCATGCAGGTGCATATGCACGATGCGTGAAAGCCTGTATAATTACACACATGCACCCACCCGTCCGACAAAACACACACACAGAGACACATGCATTGCATGCATGCATGCATGCATGCATGCACACCTATCTACACACTCATACATCTACACATTTAGTCCATACATTTACGTACTTACAGACCTACATGCGTATGCGCCTATAACTAGTTACAGACATACATATGCATGCATTCGTGCATATGTACACACACACTTACACTTACATACATGCATAGACATACATACACATGAACAAGCATAAACATCCTTATATCGACATATGTGCAGAACATACGTGTCTATACATCTTATACATAGTTAAACACATACATGTGTATATGTAAATATACACACATTCACATGCAGATGTGCATACCAACAAGCAAGATACATATGCACATGCAGACGCATTTTGCATATATACATACGCACGTATGTAGGCACACAAGCATAAACGTACGTGCATACCTAGAGGTAAACATGCATAAATGCATACTTACATATATCAACACAATCGTACATGCATACATACATACGTCCGTACATACATACATAGCTACCTACCTACCTACCTACCTACCTACCTACCTACCTACCTACCTACCTACCTACATACATACACATACATACACATACATACATGCACATACATATACATGTACATGCATGACATGACATGACATGACATGACATGACATGACATGACATGACATGACATGACGTGACATGACATGACATGACATGACAGGACAGGACATGACATGACATGACAGGACAGGACAGGACAGGACAGGACAGGACAGGACAGGACAGGACAGGACAGGACATGACACATCTTTATGCATGCATACATACCTACGTACATACGTACATACGTACAT